TTTTTTTTTTTTTAAGTATTGAAGTGGTTTAATTAATAGCAAATGCAGGTTGGTATTGAATGATATAATTCTTCTTAGAATGTCTATCTTTAAAAATGTAAAAGGTCATCTGACTTTATATATTTTAGTTAGTAGTTCTTTATCTTAAAGCTGGCCAGACCAAATCGAAGAAGACCTTAGCCAAACCCAATATAAGGAATATAGTGGTGGTGGATGGTGTTCGTACTCCATTTTTGCAGTCAGGCACTTCGTAAGTATGAAATGATCATGTTATTTATTTCTTCTTTTAAAGTACTTTTGAAAGTGTTCTTTGTAAATGTAACTCAGCAGATAATAATATTATTAGTGGACTAATATATGGATAGCATTTCCATGAAATTAATATAGAATAAATCAAGCCAGGGTTGAAATATTATGGCAAAATTTGTTCTTTTTCCTCTTCATGAACATGCCTAGTGTAGTTTTAGCTTGAAACAGCCTTATTTTGAAAGCCTAGTGTAGGCCTAGATAGCTTGCTTTCAACAGAAATATCTTTTCCTTTTCTGGAGATAAGTACATTGTTTTTGTCCTTCCTCAGAAGTTCGAGTGCTGAAGATGTGGGTTATGGGCGTTCTGACGGGCCTGTAGTGCACTGGTTTGGCCTCCTGGGAATTATTAGAATTGGAGTTGATGGGCTGGTCCAAACTCCTGGCCCAGAGCAACCCCAAGTATGTGGGGCCAGAATGATCCTAGACCAGCCGCAAAAGACCTCAGCTGTGATGATGCCACTGTATCTAGCCTGGGCAACAGAGCAAGACCCAATCTCAACAACAAAAAAAAAAGATTTGTGAAAGTATATACATTATATACACCAAATTAGTAATATTTACCTCTGGGAAGGAAATAACATGGCAGGGAAGGGCATATAAAGAGGGAACTTTAGTTTTTGCTTTCCATGGTTAGTATTGTTTACTTTTTTTTAACCACATGCATATCGGTCAAACTGCTCTTCTCCTTGGCCTTTCCTGCTTTTCTGTCCCAAGTGTGGGTTAGTCTGTCTAAAAGCTGATAATGGACTTTGGTAACTAGGTTCAAATTATTAGTTCTATTGTGTTTAGATTGTTTTAATGTTTAATTTTTATGTGTGTATGTGTATGTATGTGTCTCTGTGTGTGTGTGTGTGTGTGTGTGTGTGTATTTTTTTAAAGAGACAAAGTCTCACTGTGTCACCCAGACTGGAGTGCAGTGGTGTAGTCATAGCTCATTGTAGCCTTACACTCCTGGGCTCAAGCTATCCTCCTACCTCAGCCTCCCAAGTAGCTGGGACTGCAGGTGCGTGTCACCATGCCCCACTAATTTTTTTTTTTTTTTTAGAGAGATTGGGTCTTGCTGTGTTGCCCAAGCTGGTCCAAACTCCTGGTCTCAAGCAATCCTTTTGCCTCAGCCTCTCAAGTTGCTGCAATTACAGGCATGAGCCATCACGCCTTGAAGTTCATATTTTCAACAGGAAGTCAGTGACCAACTTAAAATGCTGAAGAATGTTAGGCACCTGTTAAAAATAATGAGACCTATCTTTATATACCAATATGGAAGATCTAAGATCTTTGAGCATTGTGTATGAGCAATATGTCATCATTTGTGAAAGATACACACCTGTGTGTGTGTGCGTGTGTATGTACATATACATGCAAACAGCAAATGTTCATTTTTCGACATATGGTTTAGGACATAGAAAATATTTTCTTATAGGAATAATGCTATAAGTAAATGGTGGTGAAGTTTCTTCATTCATCCTACTTTATCAGTATGGTAATCCACTTAATAATGTTTCTCTCTATAGTCTCTTTCCTGTACTGACACAATAGCAATAACAAGAATCTGAATGCTTTAGCAGCAGGAAGGAGAGGAGATGGGATCTTCCTTGTATTGAACAGCAGTAAGGTAGAAAAAGAAAGTTCCATCAAGAGATGAAAGTTGTTGGCTAGGAAGACCATTTTTTGTTAAGAACTATTTGTATACTGTGTAGGTGTTTGATACCAACTGTTTTATTAGCTGTTAAAAAATACAAACATACTCAACTATTTCATTTACTTTTATTATTGAAACATTTGATAATTAGTATTTGTTTGAAGTTTGATGTGAGGTATTCAGCACATTAGGATAGGGTCTGTTCCTTTTGTTGTGTATTATGTTTTAGTTTAATTCAAGATTCTGAATGAGAAAGAAGACAAAGTTCATGAGCAATTTAGTGGTATAGAGAAGAGAAAAACTTTGGCTAATGCAAGAAATGATAGTAATAGGGAAGAAAGAATAAAAAGCATTTTAAGGCAATATTTATATGAAGAACAAAGTGACTAAAAAATAACATAGTGGGAAAATTTATAAGGATGACAGTTTAGTCATATCATTGATGTTAAGATTGTGGTGGCAATTAAGTCATCTATAATAGGAGATCATTTTCTGGGTGGAAGGAAGGTCTTTTTCTGTTTAATTTGAAGGTGTTATTTGGAAGCCCAGGTTCTTCTTAGAGGCAGGGGCATTTGGGAATCACTCCTAGGAAAAGACTCTAGCAGTAGAATTCAGGAGTCTGCCAGTCATTCTGATAGGAGTGTGGGAGCATGGGAATAAAGATTGGATATGATAAATAATTTATGACTTAGGCATTTTCAAATTGACACTCAACTTTTCTTCAAATTATTCTGTCCTAAATTTGAGGAAACTGGTTTTACCTATGAAAAATTTGGAAAACTAGCGATGATTCTTCTGTGATTCAGAATGAAAATAAAAATGTTTTTTGGATTTTTAAGTTTTCATTTTCAGGAACATAATGAATCTTCTTATTCAATCCAATGGTTAAATCTTTGATTTAAAAAAAAAGGAAATTTATTTTTGACATTTAAACAAATAGATAATTGGAGGTCACACCCAGATCTTG